TTCGTTTCGGCGCCCACCAGTTGACCCCCGATGTAAAGTTCATTATCAGAATCAGATCAATACTGGTCAGAATTTCACCATCTGCATTAAACAGCATCTGGAATATCTTTCAGAATATACGTCCTCATCCATGTCTGTTTTATATAAAATAATGTAAATATTAAACACTTATTGGAGTTTTTATTCTGTGGTTTATTTTCATTTTTTGAGGGACTTTTTGAGGTAATCTGCAGCTCTCAGGTGTTTTCTCTTTATTTTCTATTAGCTGAACTGTTTCCTCTGGCAGCAGGAAACAACTCTTTACTGCCTCTGAACATAAAACTAATTTAAATGTTTGTGTTTCAAAGAAAAAAGTTAAAAACATGAACTTTCAGCACCAGACTACTGCTGAATACTGTGAGAGGAAGAAGAAGCTGCTCGGGTTCGGGGCTCAGTCTCGTAACACTGCATTAAATCTTCTCTTCGTAGGAATCATCAAGCTGCGAAGGAGTCCGCCACCGAGGCTCAGAGGACCACAGTACGTTCTCAACATCACCGCCACGGACGACAACGCGTCCGGTGGACCGTTCCCGCTTAGCAGCTCCGCCCAGGTCATCGTAGGAATCAACGACATCAACAACAACAAGCCGGTGTTCGGGGAGGTGAGTGAAGCCCCGAATGTCTACATCCTGCTTCAGTTCAAGAGTTTGTTATTTAAAACCTCTTGTTGTGCTCTCAGTGTCAGAACTACAGTCTGAACGCCGGCGTCCTGGAGAACCAGCCGCCGGGGACGTTGGTGCTGCGCGTCCAGGCCCACGACGCCGACATGGGCGTCAACGGAGAGGTCAAGTACGGCATCATGCACCGAGACGGTGTGTCGTCCGGGTTTCACATCGACCCTGACACCGGTGAGTTCGCCAGCTGCTGCTCGCTACACCAACGCATAGGGTTGACAGTTAGTAACCGTCGGCGTGGTACCGTGGTCCCTCTTGTGTTCGCCAGGTGTGATCACCACGACGGCGAGTTTCGACCGGGAGCGGCAGAGGGAGTTCACGCTGTCGGTGACGGCCACGGATCAGGCAGAGGAGCCGCTCATCGGGATCTGTCAGATCACCGTCCTCATCGCAGACCAGAACGACAACGACCCGAAGTTCGAGAACAGCCGCTACCAGTGTGAGTGCTAACGGCTAACTGCTAACATTACTGAGTACTTCTACACTCGTATGCAAAAGTCAGTTTTTTGTGACTTTATTCCGATAAATTGGTAAATGGATGGTAAACTTTTATAGTGCCTTTCTAGTCTTCCGACCACTTCAAACGCTTTTCACCTACGTGCCACATTCACCCTTTCACACACATTCACGGCAAAGTCCATCGAACAGAAACTAACTCAATACATACACCATTCACACACCCCGATGCACGGCATCGGAGCAAGTTCGGGGTTCAGTATCTTGCTCAAGGATACTTCGACATGTGGCAGGAGGAGCCGGGGATCGAACCAACAACCTTCCAATTAGGGGACGACCCGCTCTGCCTCTGAGCCACAGCCGCCCAGTGTTCACTTCAAACACTTTAAATAAGTTTGTAGAAATGCTGCAAATGAAAGAAAACTTCAATCAACTGAATAAAATTGGTAAAATGAACTTCATTTTCCAGCTCGTGTGTCTCAAAGTGTGAAATGAGGCGGTGAGACGTTCGGCGCTGAAAGCTGCTGTTTGGAGGAAGCAGGTGAAACGTGGCAAGCGTCTGTCTGTCTGTCGTCTATCGGGCTGCGTTCCTTGTAATCCTGGAAAGCTCTTAAGGCTGATAAAACATTCGCTGCCGGCTCCCGCGGGTCCGTGTTTGTTTACTATGTGTGCAAATATGTGTTTTGATAAGCGTCGTGTCAGAAGTTCTCCTCGTCAGATTAGGGAAGCGCACAGGGTGGCTCATTAACTATTTAACAGGCAGATTGAAATGTTTCTGGGACATGAATTCATTTACGACCGGGGTGTGTGTGTGAGTGTGTGTGAGGGTGTGTGTGTGAGTGTGTGTGAAGCTGTGTGTGTGACTCGAGTGTGTGTGTGTGTTGGGGGTTTTCCTGCACAAACGGAGGAAGTGAGCTGGAAACAGTCTTGTTGTTTATCTTATGGTCTTTATCGACATACATTAGAATCCCTTTTTTTTCTTCTATCTTCACTCGAGGAAATGTCCTGATATTATTGGTTGAAATCACATTTAGTTTCACAGGAAGACAAAATGATTGGATTTTGATTTAAAAACACAAAGAAATTAAGTTTATTGTGAATGTTTTGGCATAAATTGTTAAACAGGGGAACAATATAACTGCAGATGTGATCTTAAAGAGTTAAAATAACATTTTTAGTTTCACCTGGACTTAAACTTTGTCCGAATTACCACATTTAAAGTGTAATGTTTGTGGCGTTAATGCCCACACACTGGAATAAGTTACTGTCTGCATACAGAAGACTACAGATATTATATATATTATTTTTATAATATACGATCTGGATACAGTTCTGTAAACGTGGATACCGTTGGATGTTTCCAGATCCAGGGCCTCTTACGGTTGTGCAGTGCAGTATTAGCCGACCTCCCAGCTGTTCTGGTTCGCAGTCGTAAACCCTGGCAGGCAGTCGGATCCCGCGTTTGCTCGTCTTGTTTGTTGTGGTTGTTTTCTGTGACACTCATTAGACTCAGCAGGATCCGCCTCTGATTATACAGCTGAAACGCATCCAATGAGACCCACAGACGGTCAGAGGGACATTATTATTGACACAATGCTTGAAATGCAGTATTTACGGAGGGAAACGCCTCCCCTCCTCCCCCCTCGCTGGTTGTTTTTGTTGTGTGATCAGCACTGACGCTCATCACAGTCAGCAGGATTGGAGGTTATATTCATAAATTTACAAAATGCATCAGTTGACTTTGCAGTGTGAGACCCAGAAATGACAAAATGAGGTGACACACTGCTGACACAACACAACGGCGTGTTCCCATTATTATAATATCTGCTTACCATCACAGAACACCTTCTTACATTGTGTTCACTCGGTTTTAATGAAATCCAGCGTACACGCTCTGGTCTGAGTGTGAGTTCAGGTGTAGCTGGTGCATCGTGGATAAATATAAATACATGAATAATACATTAATAAACACCTGTAATATCAGAAATAGGGTAATTTGCAGGAATAATATACACTGTAAAACCAGATAGGTTTATTTAACTCAAAACTTTGTTGAAACTGATTTCGTCAAACATTTTTAAGTAACACAAACTCAATATTTTGAAAAAGATTCTTGATGAATTTAAGTGGCACTTACTCAGTTTTATAAGTTACAGAAAGTCATTTTAACTAGGTATTTTGTTTTTCACATTAAAAGCTCAATAAAGCTACTTAATCAAGTAGCAGCAATATTATCATTATTAGCAGCGACAGTACTTTTAGTAGAGAGGTATTAAAAGTTACTACTACTGCTACCGTAGTACTACTGCAGTGGTTGGCAGTATGACATGTAATACTAGTACTGATAGAAGTCGTACTTTATTGATATAATGTTTCTTATAACATTATAAGAAATATAAATAATGTCAAAATATGTGCATTATATTACAGTGTATAACAACAATATATGTAGAAAATATAAAATAATAGTATGTTACTAAAAGTAAAATAGTAAAATATGTATATTAATACTGCAGTATACAACAATATATAGAAAAAAATAGTAGTTCTACCAGTAGTAGTACCAGTAGCAGTACCAGTAGTAGTAGTAGTACCAGCAGGAGTCCCAGTAGCATAAGTAGTAGTACCAGTACCAGTACCAGTATCAGTGCAGTACCAGTACCAGTACCAGTATCAGTACCAGTATCAGTACCAGCAATAAATGTAGTACCAGTATCAGTACCAGTACCAGTAGTAGTACCAATAGCAGTACCAGTAGCAGTACCAGCAGCAGTACCAGTAGTAGTGCCAGTAGTAGTTTTTCATGCCCTGACTCACAGTTCATCTCTTCTCAGACTTCCTGCGGGAGGACACTCCGGTAGGAACTAGTTTCCTGCGAGCGGCGGCACACGATGACGACCAGGGGAGCAACGCGGCCATCACATACTCCCTGTCCAATCAGAAGCCAGCTTACTTGCACATCAACCCCAGTACTGGCTGGATTTACGTCAACCACCCCATCTCACAGGTGAGTCACTGCACTTACTATACCTGTGAGGACGACTCGCTGGCCCTCCAATCCTAAAACTCAGACATGGTCCTCACAAAGATAATATTTATAATATATAATATACAAATACAGAAAATGACAGCAGTGTCGGCGTCACAAGGTTGTGTTGTTTCCGCTGTGGGAAGAATAAAAAGGTTTCACAGTGTGTGTGTGTTTATACGATCGTACAAAGTCAAACTGAAGCGAATCTGTCTGTTATGAATGATGCCGACTGTTCTTCTTCGTCTGTCATCTTCCTCTCTGTTCTTTGTCTCTGCCTCTCTTGATCTTTTAAACAGCACTTCAGTCAATAATTGAGCAAAAGCATATTCACCCGCTCACTTGTTTTTATTCACTTTTATGAACCAAACAGTTTCTGTTTCTCTGCTTTAATATTTACTCATCCGACAAGCGTTCAGCGGCCTTTCACGGCTTCAAAGTTTTGATCACAAACTTTACAAATGAAGAAAAATCTTTTCTTTTGTTTAGTTTCTGTAGTTTTGTAATCGTCATTAAAAGCAAAGAGTCTGAAATGAACTGATACGAGATGTTCTCCTCGGTTTGTTCGATGTCGTTCCCTCGCAGACGTCCAGGATCAACCAGCAGATCGTGGCGTCCGATGGAGGGAACCGCAGCAGCTCCGTGGAGCTGACTGTCATCATAACCAACGTCCACAACCAGCCGCCGCACTGGGAGCAGCCCGAGTACTGGGTCACCGTGCCAGAAAACACCGTACGAGACGCCAAGATAGTGGTGAGTAAACCGTACCAACGACACAGGACGTTTGTGGGAGACGGCGGTGACCTCTAGTGGTCGTAGTGGGAGCAAAGGAGGAAGTCAGGTGACCCCGGTTTTGGGTAAAGTTGTTTTTAACAATACTTTTATAACGGCACCGGTGCCAAGTCTCAGAACTCTTTAACTTAACCATTTCTTTAAAAAGAGGAACAAAATAATGGTAAACAACATTAAAAAATGTCACTTACAGACCGCTTCGCTCACCATTTTAAAGGACCAGTGTGCAGGATTTAGTGACATTTAGTTGCAGATTGCAACCAACTGAACACCTCTCGCGTCTGTATCTCGACCTGGGCAGTGAGAACGGGCTGGGAAGTGTGGCGTAGGGGGAAACTACGGTGACTGCAAATGTTCAAAATATAATTTAAAAAAAAAAAAAAAAAAAACCTGCAGCTCAAGTGCGCCCATAAACAGGAATGGCAGACGGACCAGGAGCAGATGACATCAGTAGGAATGAGTTCCTGTTGCCTGTGGGAGTGTTTGACCTTATTTCTCCACAGTGGAGGTGGCAACCGTAGGTACACCTGTTGCTCAATTTTTGGAGTCACTGGCACTCGAGTTTCATCCAGCCTTTGCTTTATGTGACCTCCGCACATGGATCACAAGCGACTGAAGCTCGTCCGATCGATGCTGCTATAAGTTCTGGACGAGTGAAGAACGAGTGAAGAAAAGAGGGGAATATTTTAAACCTCCTGCAGGAGTTCTCTTTCGTTTACATCCTCTTTCACATCTGTGCAGAGCCCTGAGGAGACTCTTTCTTCCCCTTCATCCCTCTCTCCTCCCCATCCTCTCTCTGTCTCTCTCTCCCT